TAGAAATGCTCCAAAAATCGATCACGTGCTATGTGCACGGTCCTTAAAGACAGATAATCTTTTTGACATTCGATTCTTTGTTCATTTTTTATTTGACAGATAGACATTAATCCTTTGAGAAATAAGTATTTGCTACAAATTGGAAAGTACTCACATAAAGTAAAGTTCCTTAACTGGTCAAATTTAGTATTGCGAAATTATTTGCAGCGTTTCAAAGGACAGCATATCTCCAAAATTTCGAAAAAAATAAGTGGTCAGGGTCTTTTAGTAATTCTTGTGACGTTATGAACCAGGTGAAAAGCAGGATCAATTTTTATTTAACTTTTGATCTTACGAATCTCAAGTAAAAATTGAAGTCCCGACTAAAACAACTTTTTTCGAGAGAATTTGTCAAAGAGGAGACACTTGTAGAAATTGGATCTGCTCATTTTTTGCAAGATTAAATTTCCATCCCATCCTCCACTTTTTTAGAATGAGGTTGCTTTTCCTGTAAAGTACATCAATCTTGAGTATCTTCCTGACCTTTGGGTGAACTACACTTTAAATGATGTGGTAGCAAGTTGTTACCTGGTGGTCGCTTACTCCATCAAATTAGGAGTATATAAAACCCGACGTTTTTATTCTGCAAAATCAAATTAAATATATTACGGATGTAAATATTTGTATTTAAACTTTTAATTTTGTAGATGTCCATTTATTGAAGTTGGCTGCAAGATTAGGTTCGACAAATAGTTTTACAAACTGGCGAAAATTTTGAAAAATGCCATTTAATCGGGAGCACAACTTCCAACCTAAAAACAGTTGGATTTTTTTGCAAATTTCTATAAATTCGATGACTTGTAATAAATACATGACAATTTACTTAAAATATCTTAAATTAATTTCTTCACTACAAAACTCAATTTTCAAAATTTGCCAACTTTCACTCCAAATTTTAAACATTTGAATGTCCGCACAAGAGAACTAAATAGATGTGGGATTTGTGTTTATCTGGCGTATAATCCAAGCTTACTAAGGAATCACGTCCTTCTTTGCCCAGCCCAGTGAACTGGTGCATTTGACATTTACGCCACTTTGGGAAGATGGATGTGTTTTCCTTTGCAAAATTTCTTGCGGTGTGGATGAAGGAGCATTTGCCCTTTTTCGCAATGTGTCCGCCCACGCAGGACAGATTTTTGGGACAAATTGACATTTTCTTATCCGTGGGTTTCTTGATTGGACTCAAAATCCGAGTGGTTCCTGATTGACTCCTGTGTTTTGTGGGATGAGCAGGGTTCCCACGTATGAACTTATCTCTCACATCCACATAGGTCACCTTTGGCATCCTCTATAAATTTCATGAAATTATTCTAAAACTTGCAAATAAACACTACCTTGGATGTTTATTGCATACTTAATTTCATATTTTGAAGGAGGACATTCCAACAAAACTTATATCTTGATTTTTATTAACACAATACAATATTTATGCATTTCAAACAACTTCACACAACTTTAAAAGTTACGTCATTGACTTTTGATTTTATAACGAAAGAAATAAACATATTCTTGAAATATGTATATATGCAAATTTTTATGCATACATTTTGAAGACTTCTTATGTTAGTTTTGTAACCAAGTTTTTCTTAAACTTACAAGAATATTACGAAGTCAGGTTACAAATCCATTCTAAACTTAATGACCAAGTGCGTCTCTTTATTTTCAAGCAGTCTGCAAAATATTTCTCAAAATTCTTACATCTTACAGGATTACAAACATTCGCGTGAATTGACTCGTAAACAACAAGCACATTTCATCTCAAGAATTTCCACACTTCATGCCATGAATCTGAGCGAATTTTCCACAAGTTAAACCCCATGAAGAAAAGGGTAGCATAAAATATTTATGCTTTGTTGTTTCAACAGTATCGCAGCACATTTTGAATTATTTATTGAAACGACAAGCCTAATTTCCAGTGTAGACCGGATATTTTTCAAAAATAAAAATTGTAAAACCAAATCTTACACAATTTCATATATTTTATTCAGTATTTATTATTAAGCTTTAAAAAAGTGGAGCACAACACGTGACTTTATTTCCTCTCTCATAAATATTGCTTCGTCCAATTTATTTCGTAACCCTGCCGTTTTTTTCGTAAATTTCCACCAAGTCGGTCTGTCCGTCGCTTGGTTGAGTTCCTTTGCGGATTGAATTCGATTTTAGTAAGTAGCCTCGTTTCCTGGCTGCGAGATGGGATAACAGATAGAGAAAGATGAGATAAAAAATAAAAGAGAAAGTCGACCTGGGCCGTGCAAACAGGGTGTCGTTTCAATTTGTCGCTCTTTTATGATGTCCAGCCCTGAATAACCTAGTCTTTCGAGATGAAGTCCTTTGTGCAGGGCCCATCAGAGCCTCGGTAATCCCATACGTGTAGGATTTAACGTTGTCTGTAACCCCACTTGGGCTGATTTCCACCTGAGTAGTTTTATATTTCGGGGCTCTCCTCGAATACAAATTTTTTAGTCGGAATCCACTTCTTCTGCAGAGGCCGTCCAACCAAATGGCATGTAAGCTCGCATGGAGAACGAATTTCTTCAAATGATATCAACAAGTTCCGGAACTGCGGACGGTACTTTTAGCAACAACTTTCACCAAAGAAGCGGAAACGGGTATAGAATTATGCCGGTAAATATCTCGGAATTCAAAGTTGTCCTCATTCGGTGGTGGTGGTAAATCAAATTATTACCAAACTTTGTAGTTCGGTAATGAGACTTGGTACCGAATTATTTTTAATGAACTAAATGCTAATTTTTCATAAATAATTTAAGCGATTTTTTAAACAACCTGTTCCCATATAATTTTCTGACTAGCTAAAGTTTGTCATATTTTCACGTACCATGTGGACGCCCCAAAGATAAAATTTTATCGTGTATACGACACAAAATATCGCCGTGAAAGTCGACCCACTTAATGCCAGGAAATGATAACGGTAAAAGTCCGGGTGACATCCCCGCCCACGCAGCGATGTCAGGAAATCTGGTCTTGACAACAATGTCAAAACAATATACATAAGATCAAGCTCTGTTAAGTTTCACAGTTTGGGCTGCATTTCAATTTAAGCAGGCCATATCTCAATGACAAACAAGGAGAAATTTGCTTTAAAAAATTTTCAATTTGTTTGGAAATCCAGTAAAAAATGTACCTAACTCATGAAATTTTGAACTTTGTGTACTTGAGAAATTTACCAAAAACATTGATGAAACGTGTCCTAAAAATTTAAAAAGACATCTACCACATTGCTGTTTGCCAAATTTTGAATTCTTGTACTACTTGTAAAAAGCGAAAGTTATATAATTTTTTATAAAAATACCAATTCAGTCAAGTTGAGTAATCTCTGTAAAGTTGTATTTACAATTCATCGAGTCGTATTAAATTAAATCTCCATGATATGTAAATTCAGATCAAGAACTTCAAACGTTTTCATCAAGAGCATCCTTCAATTGTGTTCCACTTTATAAAATAACGATGTAAAATTACAAGAGGTGAAAGACTCGTTGTGAATCTTGCTGAATATTTTACACGAATTGTGTAATCAACAAGGCACCAAAAGGAAGAATTAGTGACACGGAGAGAAAGTAAGGGGGCCCTTCATTAAGAGTGTTAATGATTTTTACTGTCCTTCCTAGTGTGCTAATTATAACATGGGGAATATTGCGAAAAGAGACAAAATTATGTGGAAATCACATTGCTTTATGCACGGTCCCTGAAAGAAGAGCCGTGTCATTTTACAATTTGTCTGGGCGGGGGCGAGTGAGATAAGGAAGAGGCTTTCCCCGCATTAACTTCCAATTTGTATTCAGACCCAGAAACGACTTGCTTTTGTCCGAAATGCGAAAATAAATGAAGATCCGCTCAACTTTCTCAATGCAGACGGTGCACAAAGCGTGTCATGAAGTAACTACATTGTGCTCCACAAATGAGAGTCTATGATTGATTTCATGTCGGAATGACCAAAATAGGTCTTAAAGCAGCACACCATCTTTTATGAACAGCCCCATGAAAATAATCCTCTTAATCACAATCGCAGCCTTAAATTACTTAACTCTTGTTGGGACAGCAATTATGTAAATTAAGCTTGTCGAGTGGATAAAAATGGAAAGTTCTTTTTAGAGGAGGATTTTCTATGTGATCCAGATTAAAGGTTATTACTGCTGAATTATAGCAAAATTATTTTGTAAACTATTGGAAGCTCATATTCTCGTCATTTGAGATGGTTTTCCCAAAGGGGAGATTTAGATATTCCCTAAATCGCAACTTTTTGCAGCCAAAATTTGCAAGAGCGATTACCAATTGCTACGCTATACTTAATTTACGTTTAGTTAGGTACATATTTACGAAGTTTCAAACTTCAAATGACAACTTTCATTATCTTGGAAATTTTTCCCAATGGTATTAAAAATTCCCGAAATTTCAGTCACATAAAAAATTTAATAATCCCAATTACTCATTTAATTAATCTAGTTAATGAGTTAAATTGCTGTTGAACTTTCTCCAAGTTCTCAGTCTACAAGCTTCTCAGCATCTTGTTTATACCTATATATATTTTTTCTATAAAAATTTTCGACATTCTGCGTCAAAATTTGTAACTATTTGTACATGAATTGGATTAAATTTTCTCACTATAAATTTGCGATTTATGTCGAGACGCTGACCTAGTTGTAGTGCATGTGAATTTAGTATTTAAAGTACTTCAACGTTATATACAAGTCATTGAAATTTGGTTATTCAGAATGTCGTAATTAGCACAAAATTTGTACATGTCGCCTTATTTATTGCGATTTCGGAAATCTTGTTGTACTTAATTATCCGAAATTTGCTTAATACAATTTGCGAAGCATGTCTCATGTCTCTTCTGTTTATAAATTTATAAGAGTTGTGTACATCAATTCAAAATGAAATATGAAAATATATAATTTTTCTATGCGAAGTACAATTTCAAAAATTGTGTTATTTATTTCCAGCTGTGGGAAAACCTGTCAGAAAAGTACTTGTACGAGAAGGGGATCCCCTGGTCACGTGTTCTCGCAAAGTCGGCCACACCCACGAGCAGAGATGTCGAAATAGCGGATCAGATTCACAAGGTGAGCCAACTTTCCTGTACTGGTCAACTATTTAGTTAAGTTATTATTTTTACCAGACCGGTGGGATTGTAGGGATAAAATTCGTCTAAAAAATACAATTATGTAAATATCCGTATCTAAACACACCTTTTCTAATTACAAATTAGAGAAAAATGCAAAAACTATATACATGCAAAATAAATTTTGTAATTTGAAAACTTTTCTGTTCAATTTGAACGTGAAGTTTGAGAACTTTCCGCCTACACGCGCATCCACCTCATCGGGATGCAATTACACAAAGAAATTAAATTTGCAAATACCTGTCTCCCCGGTATTACGTACATACATACGTATTCCATTTTCCAAATAAGTGACTCGGGCTTCCTGCTATTCTTACATAATTTGCATACATAAATACTTGTTTGTCCTTTGTTCAACATTAGAACAAATACATGCATGCACGCGGTACATGCTACAAATTTTACCTATTTTGCAACTACAAAGCTAGATATCGCAATTTACATGAGTTACTTTCTTTTCACAAGTGGTGTCTTCCAGCGTATGCTCTCCGATTTTGACAAAATTAGTGACAAATGTGATCACGAATTTAATTAATATGAAATTTCCAAAAGACCTGTCAAATTTCATATTAATTCAGTTCGTGATCGATTCACACCAGTTCAGCCAAAATCAGAGAGCATACGCTGGGATATCTCCCTTATGAGTGGCATACACTACATCAGAATCTCTCATTTGAAATATGGACAGGTTGCACTAATGCTCCTTCAACGACGTTGTGGACTTCTGTTTTATCTAATTTTACACAAATTTCCATCACATTTTGAAAAAAACGAAGGTGTGGAGCGGAAACTTTGTGTGCTTTCATCAAGACAAAGTTTACCTTTTCAAGAAAACTTTTATAATTGGATCTCAGAAGATGAAGGGGCTCTGGTAAATTACGTTACCGGATTTTCTACACATCCGTTTAGCAATTATGGTCTGGATGGCATCGTAATATTGGTTGCGCATTATTTATGAATGGTCCCTCAGATTATGGGATGATGATGATATGTCGTGCGATACGCGATGTAGGTAAGTGATTAATCTCGAGAAAATTGGATTCTGAGATGTCTTCATGACAGGTAGATGATTAGATGGGACCATAATTTGATGGGAAAAACGCAATCCTGAGCTCTTCCGAGAAAGAAAGCTAGCACGGGGATATTTGTGATCTAGTAAACTCCACACGTTCTCACACGTTTGCCACGATTACAAAGTAAGAGTAGGTTTCAAATCTGTCATACACACATAAATCCAGATATCGGGCTAGTACATTTTGTAAAAAACCTCGTAAACTGGTTTTCCAAAATTTTACTGGGTTATTACAAAAAACATCCGAGTGAATTGTCGCAATATTAAGAATGTCAACCTTCAAATCTGAAGATCCTTTCTGTAAAAGAAATAAGTAATAATTTTGCAAAAGCTAAGGGCTTTACAAACGCGTGAATTCCAGCTTCACATATTTGAAATAGGTATGCAAACAAGAAATCTTTTCTATTCAGTTCTCATTTGTGCTAAAAACGAGAGAACATTTCCACATGCGTAATTTCTAAGGCTTGATTAATAAATAATTCATGGCCTTGATTTAACTTATTTTTTGCTACTTGTGCCATATGCACGAAGAACCAATGTTCGTGATGCCGTGTTTCTTAAAATTAGTCACAAATGTCACAAATCGGAAATGTTTCATAAAAAATATAGTTTTCATTTTTGAATTTCTCTAATTTCGTACATTTACATAAATTGTCTGCTTATTTCCACCATTAACACACTAAAAACTAAAAAACGCGAAGTTTTACGGAACCCTAACAAGCCCTGAAAGACTTCCAACTTCTTTTTGTCACAAATTTTCTAAGGGAGAAAGACCTTCGTTGGTATGCAAAAGCAACGCGTTGTACGTTAAACATGTCGTCATTTTATCCCGATTTCAAACTCGAGGCTGTCACAAAAATTAAGGGATTGAAACTTGGACAAAATTCCTTCCTGCACGACCCTGCAATCCTATGAAAGAGTTAAGATTAAAAAGTTGATTGCACAAAAGTAGGGGAAAAAATGTAATAAATGAAATATTTTTGTATGCATTTGAATAAAAGGAATTATTCACATTTTTTCCTCGTTTCTCTTACAATCAACTTGCTACAAATGAATTTCTTTATGTTGAAATTAATATTTCTCATTTTCTGTTTAAGAACGAAATCCGTACAGATTTTGAATTCTTTACCCTTGAAAAAAACTTTGCTTTTTCATGCATTTCCGGTTTTACTGGATTCAATTTAATCCATGTTTCCATCTAACGCCTTTAAATAATTTGATAGACATAAGATGTACAAAACTGATGTAAAACAGGTGAATTAATTTTTGCATAGCTATTACGCTAAGTAATTAACTCTTCCCTTTAATGATTAAGGAATTTATGCCAATTTTGCTTCAAGGTCAAATGAATCTCGAATAAAATATTTCCAAGTCCTTTTTACAATATTCTAAATTGAAAAACCTACAGTGCAGACTCCATATAGCCCGAGTCAGGGACAGAGTCACTGACTCCTCCAGGGTCACTCTGGTTAAAATTTGCTCACTTTTAGCTTCATATCCTTTCGTGAGAAGCCATTAGGTATAACCGTGCCAGATTTAATGTTTTTAAAGTAATTTCTAAAAATTGGTATGGGTCACCCCATAGGGTCGCTCCAGATAAGAATTTTACCAATTTCATGCCATATTCTTCTATTAAGACCCATTAGCAATCTATCTACCAAATTTCAGCTTGGTATGACGATTTTGAAAAATCGGTATGGGTAACCCTGTAGGGTCCCTCAAGATGAAAATTTTTCCAACTTGAAGTCATTTTTATCTATTAGGAGCCATTAGCAACCTCTGTACCAAATTTCAGCTCTCTACAACAATTTTGAAATTTTGGTGCATAATACCCCACCCACTCAGGTGACCCCCACCGGTCAACCACTAGACCCATTTCGCCCATCTTCGAACTCGTTTAATAACTTTGTCCAATATGCATATGGTAAAAATTTAAAGTCAATCGGTTCAGCCGTTTTGGCTCTATCGTGCCGGACAGACAGACGGACGGACGGACGGACGGACGGACATGACGGTTCCATAAGCCCTGACTCGGGCTAAAAAGGAAAAAAAACATATTGTTATTTGTCCTTGGAATTTGCATCCCTCGAACTGCATTTGCCCTCGAAATGCTTCACTGTCCTTGAATCATGGAATTTTCTTTCCACAAATAAATTGGATTAGCGGATGATGATTTTTTTCCTGCAGGGATGATTGAAACCCGAATTTGCAGACCGATTGCATCATCATGAATGATGATTTCCTTTATGTCTGCAAAATTTTGGCATGTCGACCATAATTGAAAAATCCAAACGGACTCCTTTGAGCTCGTTACACGTCCTTGGTTACATCACATGAGAGACAGTCGGCGTAAATAAGTTTGGTCCATCGAAACACACGCTAAATAATGTGGCAACAATCTGTCACCGGGCGAGGATCAGGAATCACTTCGATTTTGCAATGGTGATATGCATTACGAGCTTGTATGTTCGCAAATTTCTCGAATTACATAATATTAGTATTGGAGATGTGCAAGTTCGCAAATTAATCAAGGCAAAGTTGTTTGCGAATTTCCGAACTAAATTTTTTAACTAACAATGCGAACTCGTAATAAATACCCCTAAAAAACATGTTATCATTTACAGCGAAATTCTAATTTATTTTTTCTCTCGCAGTTGACAAGCTACGAAATACTGCGAATTTTAACATCAACCACGTACAAATTTAAAATTTAGTGCGACTAAAAATTAATTACAGCGAAATTTAAATCCATGCGAAATACGTAAGCTCTACCTCTTTCAACAGTACACTTATCAGATTTGACATATTCACCGTCGGTAGTACCACTTTATTCCCACATCATTTAGCGTGCCCCCATCCAGCTTGTCAGATGTGGTTTAAACTGCATCAAAGAAAATGTTTCACTTTGAATTGCACGAAATAATCAGAGGCCGAGACGAAGTAGAAATAAATTGTAAATTCTCTCAGTAATTTTGCAACTTTAATCCGCAACGAAACCAGAACTTAGTTTTCCTAAGAAGATAAAAATGTGTTCGGTTTACATACATTTATTTTTCAAACGCACCCTTAAAAAACGTGACAAGAAATTATCACAAGTCCAGATTGTGCCAGATTTGAAGTAAAAACATTAACCTGTAGTTACAAAATAATTACAAGTTGTTAATTTATAACCAAAACATCAAAACAATGAGAAGTTTGCAGCAAAAACAGACAACAACCTGGTAACAAATGTATTACCAGTTTGGTAACCAATTTGTTAGAGTGTCCACATCCCTGTGGGAGAAGATGACCTTTTACTTTCTCTTTGCCTTTTTACTCGACACAAACCATGGTGGTTTCCTTTGTGGAGGAAAAAGAGATAAGAAGAGAGGCAACTTTCTCCCTGGTGAAAGCACAGCCTTCACGTTCTCCACTTTTTTGGATAAACTTATAGTCTCGTCTTTGTAAATACACAAAGTTTTCGTTTCGCCGTCTTCTTTAAATCCAATTTAGTTTAGTTTGCCTACATTTTTTTGTACTTAACTTTCGGACCGTACACACATCGAGGATATGATGGATTTTCCGAGAATATTGAATCAATTTGTGTGACAAGTCATGTTGTAGTTGACATTGGAAGGATAGCATGTCTTGTGCTTTAAATAGATGACACACCTTGTGCAGGGTCCCTGTACCACCTGAAGGGTACGATGATGTAAGAAGAGACGCGTATCCTGGGGACACAATGAGAAACTTGACATTTTTCCTTAGATTTACATGCCTAATTTCTCTCGGGATGCATTGTGAATAATGTGGTAACAATTGCGTCATTGAAACTCTACTCTGTGGGGAAATATTTTTTACCAAACGGTAACAATAAATGTGCTCGAAATTCAAATTTGCTACATCGCTGGAATCAAAGTTTTACCTTTGATAGATTAGTTGGAATTTGGTAGACTAAAGTCACACAAGAGCTTGCATATCATAAGGCATATTGGTCACAATTCCCACATGCTTTATGGAAAAATATATATACCAAATTGTTCAAACAAATATTAGAGTAAATACTGGTTCAAAAAATATGTGGCCAAGCTATTGCTCGTTTTAAACTCCGATTTATAGTTTTTACAATTTTAAACTACTTGTTAATAGCAAAAGATTCATTGTGGCAAAATTTATTTAATCATATGGTCATATTTTAATCACATGGTCATATTTTTTTTTAAATTGGAATTTTCAAATTATTACAGAATTATAAAAGAACCTTACTTGTTTAAAGTTTTCCTCATCCCTATTTTGCTCACTCTGCTTGTTTCACACCACTTATTAACATTTAGATTTATTGCTTATGTAAAACTCCAGTATACAATTTTTTCAATTTTTAATAACCAAATTTAATTAAAGATTGATGTCCTCTTTGATTAAAGTATAATTTGTTTAAAGAGAATATTATTACCATTCTTATCTTCAAAGTGGACATTCATCGAACATTTTTTTAAACTTGACCTTTGAAAATTAAAAAAAAATATTACAGAAATTACAAAATTAAAAACGGAATTAAGTTTCTCAATATCGTGTAATAACCTGAATCTAATAATATCCATTTTTCAACGATGTAACATATTTGCAAAATCTGTTAGTCGTTTGACCAGAGTTATCTGACACCTCAATAAAATCGACCTTGCATAATTATTGTTCTCAATTGCTGTCGTAACCTTTTTTCTGCAAAGTTGCCATTTCCCACGAGTTATGTACCATGGAATTAGACACTAACTATTCACAGACTGGTCCCTTCACAGGGGAACAATTTGCCCAGATTTTCTTTCTCACCATTAAATCGGGTACTTTATGTGGGTGTGTTTTCCTGGTGTACAAATAATTCATGTTATGCAACCTTCAACAACAACCTGTCTCTGCTAGCAGGGTTCCCTAAACAGCGCATTATTTGTGTCCCCTTTGTACCAAATGTGGCCAAATATTTAGCACACGATGCAAAAAATTCTTGCCAGCATCAACCCTGGTGGTCTCCAGCTCGACGTAATTGTCGTGACCTTTTACTGCCAAACCGCATCCACATCAAGCAGGAGATGAGCGTGTGTGTCGAGCCGAATAGTTATTACGTCTCCCTCTCCGCCACGACGTTAAGCTGGATGGTGTTGGTGAGAGGAGAATTTGATTATTTTCATGACACTGACATAAAGTGGAGAAAAGTGAATTAGGTTTCAGTAGTGTCCCTGTCAGGCGCTAAATTGACACCGGTTTTATGAAGTCTTAAAATTGATGCGAGATTCGGATTGGCACTTAAATTGGACACATTCCCAACCAAGATTGGATATCAAAGACTGCTTTACATATTTTACCAGGTGTCTAGATAATCTTGATCTTGTCGGTGTGATTTTCACTTTCACTTTATTATTTGTAACTGGGTAATAAAATGTGTAAATCTCATAAGTAAAATTATTTTATGTTTTACTTAATTCTGTACTGTACATCTAGGTCAGATTTAACCAGATTACACGTAATAAATAATTTGTGAGCTGATTTCCTGTCATTTACATAAGTTGAAGGAGTTTACTGGGTTGCAAATTCATAAACGGAGTGAAATGAAATGAATCATTGCCTCGAATTTGCCATAATTATTTGCCAACATGAATTCTTCCAAGTTTTCGTATAAGAAAAATACGAACTAGATATCATTGTTTAATGTAATTTTGTAAATTGAGCATTACATTAGCACAAGTCTCGAACAAAGCCTATTTTACAAATTTAGCTTGATTTTCGTACGTGATGTTCATAAAATTGGTGAAAAGTTTAATGTGGCATAAACCAAAGTGACGCTGTCGGATTGAGATTGTCCTTAAAACTTGCTTACGAAACCTTCTCCTAAAATAAGTACATCCGTCTCGGGAATTGGTTTGGTTTGCTTGGATTTTTATTTGGATCGTGCATAAATAAATAAGGCTCGTGGACGAGTAGCACGCCTTGAAAAGACCATCAAATGGATCACATGTAATATGCACGATCCCCTTATTTACTTTCTCTCTTCCCCTCGGACAGAGATTTTTATCAGATGCGAATTAATTAAATTAACGGTGTGCCCTGACACGAACCCGCTTATTTGAGTCGCACTCTACATAATTTGGCAACAAAATTGTCACTACTTTCGAGTAGTAACGGTAAAAAAAGGTGCTCAAGCAGGTCATATACTTTGTGAAATTCAAGATCATGGCCTGGTAAAAGTATGCTAACAAAAAAATTAGCTTGTCAATCCACAACCCAACCGGTAACAAATGTTTACGACGTTTACCTATGAAATTATTTAGAGTGTGTCCTTAATGGGATTGATTTCAAGTTGTGTGCACTCCACTCAATTACAACTCGTTCAAATTGAAGTGTTGTTCTCAAGGTGAAAGTCGTACTTGTTTGTTATTGTCGAGCGGACGTGATAATGAGAGCGATTATTTTCTCCTGAGTGTCACCTTGAGAGGCAGACAAGTTTTTCCGTTAATTGTAGAAAATCATTGAAAATCACAACCATAAGAAGAAGGCCAAGTATTTTAGATTTTTATATAAAATGCTAGTGTTTCACGCCGTTTAGTTATAATTCTGACTGAGTAAAGAGAGAGAGATAAAATATTATTGAGTGCTTGTATGACGTCTGAAATTGAAATTATCAAATTTTGAAAAGCACAAAATCCCGTAAAAAATATAAAATCAGTTTAAAAAACATTGGTCATTTTCTACAGGATGTTTTATATAATTTATGTAATTTCATGCAATTTTATTGCATTAATTACTTTCACGTCGCTTAAAATTCTCCTGGTTTATGTTAATAATTTCCTACTTTGAAATTGCATTTGTCAAATTATGATACCTTTCCCTTTATACAAAGATGAGAAAATCGGACATAGTTCCTAATTTAATTTTAACTTATGCAACACTCAAATTTATGTTCGTAATTTTTATAAATTTCAAAATTATTCTGTATTTTGCAGGACCTCCACCGCACGGGCTGTACAGGATTTAGTGGAGCCAAACAAGTAAAACTAAAGTCTGTCTTGGTCGCTTATGGGCGTTGGAATCCTAGCGTCGGTTACTGTCAAGGATTCAATATGATTGGCGCCATGCTATTAGAAATGACGGGGGGAGATGAGACGCTCACCCTCAAAGTGCTTATCTTCTTGATTGAAGGGGTGCTCCCTCAAGGTAAGCCTAACAATATTTTAGACTCTTAAAGGAGAAAAAATTCCATGTTTACTTCAATTCATGGTACCACTGGGAAGGTCCGCGTCAACTTTTGGAGCAGAATTTAGTAAATTCATACTAAAAAAACTTGAAACCATTTTGATTTTTGTCAGAAAAATAATTCAACTTCAAAACTAACGACCTTTCGCAAAATATTGTTCCTAAAACTTAAGATTAATTAAAAACGTCCTGCCCACCCGAAGTTACAATTTATAGATGACGCCTCCTAAACAATTGGCAAAATTTGAATTGTCACCCTGTGTGAATTTATTTTCCCAGCTTTTACTGAATAAATAAAGCCACACTTTTAATCCGTACATTTCTGCATGACCTGATTTTCATGTGTAACGTGAGCACGGAAATCCGACGAATGCTTCTTGTCCAAATATTCTTTTATCATGAAAATTCTCCAATTCTTGCATTTCGTTCATGCACAAAATTAAAGACAAGCCCTCCAGAAATAAAGTATATTATCATAAAAAAATACAAAGAAAACCCAAACCGATCCCGGATTCAATTTCCGGATCTCGGATCTCGGCTTTTCTGCAAAATAGAAAGGAACGGATGTCCATCGTTTTCCCACCTTTGAGTGAGACCACGCATAAAGCACGTGATCGATTTTCGAACAATTTTTATCACAGGCCGGCCAATATATTAGTATTTAACATGGGAAGAGAAGACTGCCTTGGGGCTACTTCAAATCGATCACATGCTTTCTGTCTGGTCGCTTTTGTAGTTGCATCGTTCCGTACTTTAACCATTGCACACTTTGGAGACCCACTTTCACTCAGCCCATCAGAGAGAGAGAGAGATTTAGCAGGAAGGTCGTCTATTGTCCATATGGCGAGGTTCATTTGGCGAAGGTGAATTCCCCGATTTTCACAAAATTCACCCAGAAGAGAATCCACGTCACCTCATTAAGCTTTCTCTACATCTCCCTATTTCCATTTTATTGACTACTTTCATCCAGTAAGGAACGTGCGAAAAGGGTGTTTTTTATCTTGTGTCCTTCACAAACTGAAATACGTAATTTGGTAGCAATCTTCTAGAGGGTGGTAACTGCGTAGCTAATTTTGTAGCACGCTTACAATACAATCGGTGACAACAAGTTTTAGTACCACGCTATTTACACAGAGACAATTCACGCCATCCTTAGTACCTTGTAAAACTCGTAAGTTTTATTAAATAATTTTACAAAAATGTGTAAAGCTAATTGTCCTACGAAATATTTGTAAAAGCTGGTGAAAGTTTGGAATTTTACTAAATTTACGGATTTTACAAAGTTACCAAGGACTGCATGACAGTGCTACTTCCGGTTTCATCGTCACCCACCCAATTAATGCAAGTCTACCGCATCCATTTCGCACAACCCGGTTCTATTCGATTCCAGACTTTGAATGGAATTTGTCTCGGGTGAAAATAAAGTGGGGCGTGGAGATGCAAGAGGAGATTGTCTAATTGTGTGTGGAATGATGAATGAGTCTCTCGCGGAATGATGATCAGCTTCCAGCCACACACAATTTTGAGGGCAATTCCAGCCGTGCCGTGGATAAAGTATAATCTCGATTAGAGGGTGAAAGTCGCCCGATGAAAATTCCCCAGAAATCTATCCCACACTTTCTGCACGGTCTGTGCCCATAATTCCGTATGCGTAGGTGGGAGAGGGTTAGTTAGTGGGTGTTTGTTCAATTAGCAGTCTCTTGAATTTATGGTTGATGATAACTTATTTCGCCGCAGAGAGAATCATCAACAATTTGGGACGACAGGATAAATTGGATTTATTCACTAATCCTGTTTTCTGCACGGAAATTTAATTGTGGAAATTTACCTAGGCTAATCAAGACTCTCTGGAAAAGGTGGTATTTTGGAGAGGAAGATGTAAACGGGGCTAAATTTGGGACTCGAATTTACGGGTTCTAACTTCTATTGCGACTAAATTTGAAAATAGATTTGTACCATGTTAGTTATTTATGTACATTTAATGCGCATATGTACATATGTGATCAGTGGGTGACAAATTAAAACCATGTCGCTCTCCCACAAATTAAATATTTACATACAAACTCGGCAGTCATGTCAGTATATTCGTGGTAGGATTACGGTATATAAATTGTTAATATTTATTGTGGTCGCTGCCCCGTTTCTGCCAAATTAAGCTTGGTCTAGAAGATTTTACACTTTTGTTGTAGATGAAATCGAATACAAATTACAATTTTGTATACATTATCAACGAAATTACGTATTTGAAAGCCTTCTATCTTAGAATTAATTTTTTAACGAATTAAACTACGTAAAAAATAATATCGGTGTGACTAATGCACAATTTTAGAAAAAATACAATAGCACTTTGGGAAAATTATAATTTTCCATTTACGTATGATTTTCACCAGGGAAAAAAATTAGTTTACGTACTCATCGTGTCATTTAATTTCTCAATTAAATTGACTACGATTTTCGATATATCAAAATCATTTCATTTTTAATTAAGAAAATTACGTCCGTACTGTTAAAATGGTGCGGTGTATAGTACATTAATAAATAATTTGAGAAAAATTTGCTACGCGGTGATGTCCTGCTAAATTGGTAGGTAATTGCATCCCAAAACTTTAATTTTCTGATTTTGCAACCTTTTGGAATAAACATGAAATATGTGATAAATTTTCCAAAGATTTTTTTACCCCGATGGAATTATTATACAAAATATGAAATAATCTCAAATTGACCACAAGTTCTGTATGCACAGCCCCTTAGTAAATATTTAAAACCATGCATGACAGATATCCCCACCTTAAATTGAGGCGAGACGAACGGAGTGAAAGCAGAGAGCTATTCTTGGTTTCCACTCTCACATCTATAATTCATTTACTACGTCTCAAATTAACGGATTTAGCTTTATCCTCTCCCGACGAGGAGAGCCTTCACTCCTGTTCACGTTTACCTCTTAATTTTTAATGCGTTTCCCACACCGTAAACAACATCAGAGAAGCGAATCTCTGAAACAATTCGGGCAATCAGTGGTAACATTTGCAAAATCTGTAACCTTTGCAAAAATATTTTGCACATTGTAAACAAACCTTTATTCTTTGATTTGAAAGTTGGGTGACACTTGATTCGTGAAATGATGGTACTCACGTAGACCGATTTATACATATAAATACTTGTCGGATGTTAAATCATTTGACTTTTTAGGGACATATTCCACTTTATGCACTGAGATTTTTACGTTAGTTTTCTCCCCGTGATTTTTTTTTACTTTTATGTATTCGTAGGAAAAACTGATTTATAATTTTTTTAATTGTTCAAACAAAAACATAAATATCGCGTATGACGCATGTTCAACAGGCCGTGACAAGTACTGTATTGTCTCGACGTTTCTCGTTCTGCTGGTGCTTTCTCCAAGTCCTTATTTATTTTTATTGCCTCTGCAAAAACCTGGTTTGGAATGCGTACAATTCTTTAAGTGGATAAGTCTTAAGCCAGACTTGGTAAGGTCCTGTTTAACAAAAACTTGACTTACGTAATGTTAAAGATATGTTATGATATCGTCATGTAACTCGAAAAATTCTAGAATCCCTGAGGCACACGCTGTTAAGTTGTGTAACGATAAATGTTGTGTCATCTTGGAGGACATTGAAACAAAAAGAATTTTGAGACATGGTCCAATTAGCATTAATCTGAGCGGACACAATCACTTCCACAAATTCGTAGTAAAATACCAACTTAAAACCTCGTAAAAGTTATGAACAACACTTTTAGTCAAACCGTAAACATAAATATAAATAAGTGGGGCATGACCAGAGGAGAAAGCAAAGAAAAAACCACCATGTGGAGAAAGTAGGGAAAAAATCTCCTCGAGAAAGTCCAACATCTTCGTCACGTCGTGCTGCTCATGCATCACATTTGCTTTCTCTTCATGCTCCACTCTTCATTATGTGTAAAGTTCGCGAAATAAAATATACTCAGCAAATTCACTACGTCGTAAAACCCGGAAGATACAAATGTTTGCAAAATTTTCTGCAAAATCGGCTTACGAGGGAAAAGAGATGGATGACGTTCGTACGTACATATTTGGATTTTACAACTGTTGGTAAACTAGTTTTACAAACTTGCAGTGTTCCCAGTGGAGTGACAATGTGAACTAAGTCAATAAGTATTTGGTGGAGAAAGTCACACAAGAAGCAGCAAATATATGACATAATCCTAATAAAGCGAAAAACAAATCAACCCAACACATCTTCTCACTTTATGCACTTCATAAAAACATCATTAAATCAGACTTTGGGGAAAGCAATAAATATCAAATTAACAACAAAACTAGGAAAACTAAAGAGAAAGCAAGTATACAAAATATAAAATATCAAAGAGTAGCTCAAGTAATGAATTCTATTCCCTAGTTTCCCATTTTCTTTCAACTCTACTTAATTGATTTCTAACCTTTAACAAAGTAGGTATGAAACTTCTTTATCCACTAAACAAAATATAAACCAAGTCTTTGCCCGAGCAATAAAAAACAAATAGATACAAATAAATGTTTTGGGAAAGTAAGAGATCTATGGTTTGTCCAAAATCCAAAAATGGCCTGTTCAAAACGACTTGTCCAAAATCTTATGACTTCAAAAAAAATTCTATATTGTAAATACGATCTTTTATCCAGGAGACGACATGAATAATTTCATTCACTTATATCACACCAATTTATTAAAAAAATCAACATTTGCAAGCTAGGTTTTTACGTAGGCATAACATATGAATAACGGACTCATGCTGGCTGGTGGAGAAAGTATAAAAAATTGAAAACAACTCGGAAAACGAATAGGAGAAAGTGCAACATATTGTTTGGTTTCGCATAATTTTTGTATTATCTGTAAACTTCCCCATAAAACAAGAATTGGGCAATGCGAAATCACAATCTGCATGGAAATTTACTGTCTAGAAATATCACAAAACATAAATATCACAAA